GAATAAGAATTGCATCCTATTCAGCTGGTTGCATGCACTTTAACTCCAGTGATCACTGGCTGTTGAAATAGCATGTGCTGGGAGAAGAAATTGCTGAGACAGCATCAGGGTGTTCAAACTGGACTGTTCCACTTACTTGTAAACTTTTGGATAATTAAACAGAACTCTAGAGAAAAACAGGTCAGCACAGTATACTTGGGAACAGACTTTGGTTTAGATCAGGATTATACTTCCTAGTGGATGCAATGAAACAAGTTCGATACTGACATTTAATGAGAAGGATTTTTGAAAACAAACTAGTTCTCTTCCATAGCTGCTGTATCAAATGACATTATGCATCTGTGTAGAGAAACAGTATCCTTCTGTATGGAAGCAGTAAGTTTGAAGGTATGTTTGTGTTGCAAACAGCAGTTAGTGATCCTGTTACTTTGGTTTAATAACACCATCCTCCATGACCTAGTGGTATCATTCAAGGAACTAAGTAATTTTTGTTGTGAGTAAGAGTTTTAAAATATGACCTTAAATGTGAGGATCCATATGTTAGGATGAATACAGATCTGGTCTCTGTGACCCTGCTAAATGGAACCCATCTGAAATTTCCCTTTTCACAAGGATGAATAGAATTACTTTTTAGACACTGTGGAGGAAGAAACAAAACTGCTAATCTGCTTGCCAAGGGTGGATCAATTAAAACTTTGGGAACTTCTGAGTTGAAACTAGAACCTTCTTTGTTTACTCTAGAATTTCTCATACTTTCTTCTCTTCTTTCATGACAGAGGTGTGAGGGAGGAACCCTCTGCTAGTCCCTTAATCTTCAAACACACATCTTCAATTGAATTATGATCATAGTCATGCAGTGCTCTCAGTTATATAATCTGGCTTTGGCCTGTCGGATAAACTGCAAAAATCTTATGGGCCTTTAGCTGCAAAGTTTATCTCACTCTCTCCCCCTCCCCACCCCACCTCCCTATCCCTAGTCCTTTTGATTTTCAGAAAAAAAGATTTGAGAATCAACAGTGTGAGACCAATGCGGTTTGCCAGCTGCCCCTATTGCCCTTAGGTGCTACAAGCTGCATGACTGATTACAGACAAACAAAACTTAGCTCTCCTTGTACCCACACTTTTGGGCTATCTCTGCCATCCCAGCAAAAGCTGTTCTTTCATGGGCACTTCCAGTCAGAGGGCCATTATGTGGATTGCAAGGATCTAGTAATGCTCAGTGACACATACTGATTATCAGTATGTAAATAGATATTTTTTTCCTTTAAAACGGTTATGCTTCTTCACTTGCCAAGTTTGTTTCCTTGAGCATGGCTGTATTTATATTTAGCAAAATTAACAGGCGATGAAATAGGTGCTGAGGATGTTAATTATGTAATTATATGAGCAAAGAAGGACCATGTAATGGGCGGAGAAGAAAAATGACAAAGAAGTTACATGAAGAAATTAAATACCACCTTAGGTTTCTGGTTAAGGTCCTTATTTTTACTGTGTTGCCAGTGGTCACTGGTGACCTCAAATGCAAGGGTGAAGGGATTTATTTCTTGTTTGTGTTTATTTAAGTATGCACAAGTGATAGCTCTGATATATATTCACATTAGTTATTCTTTTTTACAAGTAGATTAAAATGGGGGAGGCAGGATTCTCATCCAGGAAGTCATCTGTTTGAAAAAGACTGTAAAGTGAAATTAAATGGGATCATATGAACTTTAGTGGTGTCTAAGTGGTTTCAGTTTGCACATTGTTAAGAATCATACAGTGTCCTTTGGTGCCCTATTCTTCTTGTGTATTTTAATAAAGAAGACCAGTTAGTTTGAAAGGTTGATCTCAGTATCAGAATTGACTTCTGATCACTCTATCGCTTCACAATTCTTCATAAATCAGGAGCGCTTGAAAGTATATGCACATGTTCATGGGGATTTTTCTTTTCCTCAAGAGAGATTCAATTCTTTATGCTAGAATTCTTATTGTGAGTTATTTTTATAATTGAATCAAAACTGTGTAGGCTGATACAGCCCCAAGTTACCTTTGTCATCTGAAAAATCCTCAAAATGGCCAAACAGAATAACTTTGTCACTTGTTTGTCATACCAGTTTTGACAATGGGTCATTCCATAGATGTCTAAAATGATCTTTAGCCACGTTTTATGAAGCCAGAACTGTAATCCAATAACAATTTTCTGGCTAAGTGCTTCTCAGTTGCCACTGGGGACTAACTGCATCACTGTTGCTGTTCTTAAAATGAGCTTAAGCTAAAAGGACACAAATTTCATATTTCTTTCCTTATTTTCTTGAGAGTAATCTAAGAAAATAATATTTTAAATAATTGCATTCTGGTTCCTGAGGGACATCAGCATAATTGCATTGAGGATACCTTTATTTTTTTATGCATTTATTTATTAACAAAGAAGTACATTCCATCTGTAAATGAAACGATTGGTCCAGTGGCACAAAACAATAAAGCAATAAAGCCTCTAGTTCATTAAATTGGAATATAGGGATTGAATTACTAATTCATGTTGGTTTAAATTTCGTGTTATAAATTACAGGATTCTAAGATGTAAGGGAAAAATGTTCCCCATGATGCAGGCTACCTACAGTTCTAGCCAGGAAGATTTATATAACTCTCATTGGAGATGAAGGAAGGAGAAGTACTGAAAACAGACTGGCATGTTTCATATGGTACATTGGTGGGCACGTCACAACTGAAAAAACTCAAACACAAAAACCTCCCAAACCCTTATTTAAACTGAGGATACTCTGGAGGGCTTGCTTTTAAATATGGATAATTTGAAATGCTGCTTTCTGAAGGTACAACATGAAGGTCAGGTAACAGAAGAAATGAACAGTGAGAGAAATGCTTCATAAACCTTAAGTGGTTTCATTTCAGTCCTATGTTATCTCTCCTGTCATCCACCCTAGTGTTTTATTCACTGTAATCTTGTATTGAAAACTTTCTGGTGAATTTCAATCTGCTATTAAATTCCCTCTATTCTGATCATTTTAGTTTGATTTCTGTGTTTAACGGTCTCTGGAGTTGCCTGTAGAAGCAAATATAAAACCCATATAAGACAGTTTGTTCTCTTCAGTTATTGTGTTGACTGGATTCCTACTATGGGGACCTGGTCCTCTGATTTTGGAGATGAAAACTTTACTGGCTCTTATTTCAGCCTCCAAGACCACAGGCAAGTCACTTTCTGAGAGTGTGAGTCATGTGCCTCAGTGTTACACTTCTCCACAAGTTGTGTTTGTTTCGTTCTTGAGTAATAAGAAGTGTTTCACAAAGGCTGCCCTCAGATTTTCTGGAGAAATATTAGTTTATGTAAAATTGATAATTAATCTAAGCCACCTGTATGGCAATCTGTCATGAATGTTTGGGGATTGACAATTGATCTAGTGAATCTGAGATGATGTTTCCAGTGTTTCTACAATGGAGCCATGCTTGCTATGAACTTAAACTGCCTCTCCCCTTCATTCAAGCCTTCTCTTCATCCTCTGTGGACTTTTGTTTGGAAACCAAATAAACAGAGCAGGGTATTTTAGTCTTGTCTCTATACTGTGTCAGATCTCACCTTTTACAGGTTTTTAAGGCAGCCACTATAGTAAGTAGTTTAATATATCTATGAAATAGCATGTGACATGCTTATTGCACAATCTTTCTCAGGTGGAGGATGCAGTTATGATGGGTGTATTTGCCTGCTAGAAGTGTGGTATTTCTTTGTAGAAAACTTATTCAATTATTTGATCTACTCACTGATGTACTTTGAACCACTGTTAAATCTGATACACAAAATAAAAGATCAAGTTTCCTGCAGGTTATTGTTTCATGAGAAGGAAGATTTCGGTCTCTTCTGATCACTGGAAGTGGTCTGCTCTACTGCACCGCAGAGTCAGGGGAAGGCTGTGAGCCCCCAAGCAAGTCAGTGAGCAGTTTCATGAGTACCAGATCTCTGCTCAGAGCAAGGCCAACTTGGGTCAGGTTCCTCAGGCCTGGTCCTCTCAAGGTTTGAACATCTTCAGAGGCAGGGATTGCACAGTCTCTCTGGCCTACCTGCTAGTATTTTATTATCCTAATGGTGATTTACTTTCTTTTTTTTTTTTTTTTTTAACAATATTTAATTTTTTTTTTTTTTTTAACAATATTTAATTGCAATATTCCGTGTGGCAACTTGATGTCCATTATCTCTCATCCTGTCACTTGTGCACCTCACAGGAGAGTCTGGCGCTCTCTCAGTAGTGCAAGACTACTTCAGACAGATTGGCTGCAGTTGCCCTTGTTTTGGTGAACCTTCTCTATCTTGCAGACCTTTAGAATTTTCAAGAAATAGTATTTTGCCTTGAGTAATTCCTTGGACCTTATTTTTAGCATTTTGTTGAACCTCATCTAAAGTTGATTGAATGGGGGTAAACAAATTCTTGTACTTTTGTCTAAGAATCAGGTTTTCTATTTCAGGGTCTGTAATGTGGGCACATTTGGAATCTGTAAAGAGTATAATTTGGATTTGATAATCATATTCTCGAAAGCAGGTTTATGAAAGACAGTTGTGCCTTTGCAGGTCATACTTTTGCTACAGGAACTCATGACACTTTGAGTGCATTATCTCACCAAAGCTCCCTGTATTTCCCTTGAGGCAATGGCTAAACACCATAAACCTTGATTGTTTCCAAAGGCTCAGAGAGGCCCAGGGGTCCTGAGCTCTAGTTTATGCTGATTGTCCATAATGCATTTGAAGCTTATCTTTCTATACCTCATTGACTCAAGTATATAAGTGTTTGCATAATATGAAAACTGTAAATAGAAGAAAGGTGCCAATTAACAAATATGAACCAGATTTCAGGGTTATAAGACATTCACTTTTCATTACAGTTCTGGCCTTGCTATTCCTTAATCCTGCCAGAAGGATGATACTAGGAGGTTTTATGTATACTTGGCTGGACGAGATAATCTTTAAATAAGTTTAATTACTAACTATCTGGTTTGTTTATTGTTGTTTTTTCTAGTGTCCTCAAATGGGAGATAATCTGAGATGCAGAGAATTTACAGCACAGGTAAGTCACAGAACTGAGTATATTCACATTTTTTTACAAAAGTATTGGATTTATTGATGTGAAATTGACAACTGGCAGATCAGGAGAGCAAGGTCTAGGTAGTACTCTAGAAGTACTAGCAAAATGAGAGGCACTGAGTTGGAGAATACAGCACATAGCTGTATGTCATTCTAATGCTAACAGACCACTTCCAAGGCATAAAACCTATTTGCGAAATAAGTCACTTTTCCATATCAACTTCCTCTTGAATCTCTTAATTGAAAAGACAAGATTCTGGGTCCGTAAGTCATCTCACATGCCAGATAGATAGAATTCAACCTATTGTTTCCTCAGATACAGTTTTGTCTGTGAATTCCCTTCTCTCTTCTGTGGATATGTACACCCCTACCTTCTCCAATCAGCTGTCCTCTGCGATAGAGAAGTGTAAAAGTCTCTTCCCCTGCCTTCAGAACAAATAAGGGGGTGGATTTACTCTGTTATTTTAAAGGGGATGTTCCTCTACTTTGAGGATGAGTTACCTGAAAAAATGAAGGAAAGAACTTGCATTTCTCTTTATTGTGTAGTAGATGCTCTTTGTCTGAAGTAAATTACTGAATTGTATACTTCAGAGGTGTGTCTGTGAAGAATAAGTAGCTGATCATATTAGAAGTTTGAGTTTATATGAAACAACATGAGTTGATAGACAAATACAGCTTGAGATTTTTCTCTAACTTTCACTGATTCTTGCCAGCAGCATATTATCAGATTAGGAATATTTTACCGTCAGAATAAATTACTGAAAATTTTTGCTGGACCCTGTGCTCCAAGGAGCTTTTATTATCACCAGTCAGATGCAGCCCACCTGGGAAGACACTGTTGATAGCTGCTTATAATTATGTATATTAATCCTCTCATGAGTGTCACATGCAAACCATATCTCCCATTATCTTTTCCCTTTCCTCACATCATCCTTCTTGTCCAACCAATTTGTGACTCTCTCCATTGCTCCTTTGAAGTGGGTTTGCTCTTTTCAGCTCCAGCACAGGCATTTCTGCATATGCAGCTCCCAGCTGTGTTCCACAGGCCTATATTCCAGACGCCTGTGAGGACCAAACAAAGCATTACTGTCTATAGCACAAAGTATATGGGAACACATCTGGAAGAGGGAAATATCAACTGCCTGATAACAAGGAGGCTGCTGTGGATGAAGAACTGTTATAAAGAATTGTGGCTAGAGGAGAAATAAGCTGTCCATTTTAAGTTAATTTTTCTTTTTTTTTTCACTTTGCCCTGACAAATTAGGAGTTTTAAGCCTACTGCTGGGACATTAGTTATTTCTTGTCTGAGGTATTGTATTTAGTATTGTACTAGGGTATTGTGGACAGGTTGTGAAGGGCCTCAGTGCTGAGGATTCAGTTTTGTAACAATGTGGACTCTCTGCCATCTCACATATTTTGCTTAGTGATCATTTGTTCTTTAACAGTGATCTGTTGGTGACAGGATGGAGTTCAGTTTTGGCAGATAAGGTTCAGAATTGGAGACTCAGTTTCTCAAGTACACGAGATCTGCACGCTTTTGCCATCCCTCAGCCTGCCTCTGTGCTGTCTGCTCTTCCTCTGGGCCACATACACAGTGTGAGCCCTTCAGATCTGTGGGACTGTGGGGCAGATGGGGTGTTTGTCTCACAAACACTGTCACAGCTTACATGCCAGCCATGTCTGTGTTAGGCTTCAGACTTCCATTAATCCAGATAGGGTCCTCTTTTGACCCTCACATCACTTTGCATGGCAGCTTTCAGGGCATCAGAATTGTTACTCAGGTGGACTGGACTTGGCCTCAAAATACACATAAAGCACATACACGTGAAGCACATGTACATGAAGCACGTAAAATAAGAATGTTGGCAGCTAAGAATAAAAAATTAAAGTATGGAGAGGATATTGCAAGCATTACTTTAGAATGAGGGTAAAATTGCTTTCCAAACTGAGTGGCCAACATTAGGTTAAGAAGGAAATTTTAAGTTTAACTTGATATACATGCAAGAACAGTTCTTAAAAACTTAAAATAATAAAGAAATTTGTGCCATAGCACACCTAAACCAGTTTGTTTCAGTACACCTAAAACAGGTTGAATCTTCTTTTGTGTTGAGAATAACATTGTAATATTCAGGATTTTTTTTTTTTTTCTGAAAATCTTAAACATAAAACACTGTTCTACACACTTGTTTTTTATAAAGCCTGGATTTGGAAGGGATGTGGGCCAGTGGATGTCCTTTTTACTATGGTGGTACTGGGGGTGTTGCAGTTCTAGTTTTAGCTTCAGCCCCTTATAAATCATGCTAGTGTACTCTTGTTCAACCAAAAAGCAGACATTCCATTTGTACTATTTAAGCACATTGGACAACTGTCAGTAAAGCCGACAATAGCAGCTTTCTCTTACTCACATTTTTAAAAACATATTTGATAGCCTTAGTATTATAGTCAGGAAAGGCAGCCCTCTGGTTCTATCATTTCTATTAAATGGTACTGCTTTAAACTAACTGGCAGTAGACCTTTTTTCTACTCACCAAGCAGTTTACTAATTCAGATAACTCCTCAGTCATCAAGGGCTCCTTTGGTCACATCACAATCATTGTGACAGTTCCAGGTAAGAGTATTTGGCAGTGATAGCTCAAGGGTTCATTCTTCTCAAAACATTTACTTTACCTGACATATCTTTCCTGGGTGCCACAGTGATTAGTCATCTGCGTATTATTTAAAGGAAGCTGAGAAATGCTATTCTCTCATTATAAGAAACAGCTATGGAGTGTATAATAAAAATAAATAATTTCAACCCCTCAGCACTGAAAGAGACATGCTAGGGGAGAATTAAAATAAGTTGCACAAGAAGCAAAACACTGTGTAAAACAGTGTGGACGTGTGTATCCTAGGTAAGGTGGAGAATATTTACTGCCGTAAGACAGACTGAAAATTCTCACTTATAAACTACTGTATACAAGATTTTTAAAAAAAAATATTTTTAATCTTCACAGACTTTAACTCTTTGGGTTGATATTTTCTATGTTGGGCTTCCTCCTCGGGCAAAGCATTTGGAATGAGTATGATCAAAACGGTTTGGCTGTTTCTGGAAAGGGAGTAAGTATTGCTCTGTATAACATTTTGAGCACTTCCTCCCCTTGAATTGTATCTTTCTTTTGTTATTACACAATACCATCAAAATCTACTTCAAAGTGTGATCTGCTTTCCTTGAAGTACTGGTTCCTGTTGAGAAAGATGCTATTGTTGCTTTATTTCATGAGCTGAAATGGTAGAGGTCTGTACAGTGACTCTAAATATTGCCAGTGATGATACTGAGCCATGGGCTCATCAGTGGGATTCCATGCTATGGCATTTGTGGAGAGCTGTTTAGCTCTGAATTTCTAGAAACCTGGTAATTTACAAATAAAAGATGAGATTACAACTTCAGAGTTTAAAATCAGGGTGAAAACTGCAGGATAAAGCATGGACAGCACTCACATAATGAGCAGTTCAAATATTTTGTTGAAATATTTCAAATCCAATATTTTATTTTTTCTCTTCTGTTAAGCATGTGCCTTCAAGGCTTTTTTATTGTATGCTTTTCAAAACTTGCTCCAGAGACAGATTTATTAATTTCCTCCTAGGTTTCTATATAGCACTCAACACTACAGTGCTTCAGAAACCATTAATGAAGTTATTTTCACAACACCCCAGTGAAATGAGGAGGAATTATTGTCCTCATTTGACAGATGGAGACTGGGACACAGTAATTCAAGGTTGAAAGTACCTACTAATTTGGGAACCCGGTCTGAGACATCCTGCTCCAGTCTTTTTCAGAATATCTAACATGAGATAGTAAGCTGAAAGCACAGCTCCCTTTAACTTCAGCTGCATTTGTGAGTGATCAGCACTTTAAGCAAGGTAGAACCCAGGTTTCAAGTCAGGCATGGAGCACATGAGGAACATACAATTGATAGATGACCTTGTGTGAAAAGCTAGGTTTTAAGAAACTTGTCCTGTGTTTTATAGACGGTCTTGTAAGCAGGTGTAGACTCCAAACTCTTCAGGGCAACTTTTGAACTACCTTAAGTAAGAGACTTTTTTTTTTTTTGTTCCTGCATTCCTCACTCATTACATAACTCTGAACCTCAGCAGTGCAGGGGACAGCCCTTCTCATTCTCAGGCAGCAGCCTCCTGCCCTGCATTGATTCATCCCATAGACAAGTCCATGCCGTGCACTTCATGGAACGGTGACCTAGTGGAAAACTCAGTTTATGGTTAAATTACTAAGTCGTATGATGTGTTTACCAAATGCCAAACCCTTGTCCTGTCCTAGATCATAAACAACTGAAGTCTGAGGTATATCAATGGACTACAGAGTATTAATGTGATGGTGAGTATACTGGCCTAAAATGCCTCTGGATATGTTTGTAGGCAGAAATAGTTTGAACAGTGATGATTACTGCTTAACTGTACTAATTTCCTCTCATTCCATATCTCTTGTCCCTTGTTTTATACCTAGATCCCAAATAATGTAAGGTAGACACTACTATGTTTTGCTTTTATAGAAATTAGTATACTGTGACCTTGATCAAGGGACCTCAGCTGCTCTGATAGAGTCCCTCTGCGCTCACATTATTCATGTTATCATGTGAAAAAAAAATTAGTGTCTCATCTGCTTAATTGAAATATTTGCTATATAGACTGTCCTTTGTGGACCTCAGAAGTGGTGATCACTGACAGTTTGGTATGTGTATTGTCCACCTAGAATGTTGTAGGGACAATTGCAATTTGTTCACTAACTTTTGTTTCTCTTAAGTGAATTTAATGTGTTTTATACTTTTCAATTTACTAAAGTGCTAGTAGTTTATTAAAACAGAACATTAAATTGACCTGTATACCTGTATCACAGGACTGTTGTGAAGATTAATAATTAGATAATGTTTGTAAAGCACTTTTTATAAGTGAAAAGTGCTATAAAGTGCTAAGTATTGTTATTGCAGCATG